ATCGCCAGCAGCTGTTCCTCGGAGTGCTGGATATGGAAAGGATATCCATACTCCTACCTATAGTACCTTTAGTACCCACAGTGACCGACTAGCTTCTCCTCGCGACCATGAATATGAGAGAGAGACACATAAATATACTGATGATAGTCATGGTCGTCACAGATCGGCGAGCTTCAAGGTCTCGGCAGGGGTGGGCAGTCATCATGGAGCTCTCTCGGCTGGCTTGAGTATGGGTCATGATCAACCTCAAGTTCAATCTCCAGCTGGGTCCCAGTTCTCAGGGTATAGCAAGAGAGATGAGGAACATAGATATGCCGAATCTCCTCAGTACAAATATTCGCAATCGGGTGAAAAGATTACCTATTCAAGTACTAGGAGGAAAACCGTTATTGGGGGGGAATACCCTGAAGAGAGAAGTCCTCCTCTTCCAGCTCGACCCCATGGCCGTAGAGATTCTTCACCACCTAGACATCATAGACATGAAAGTTCATCAGCCCGCAGCAGCAGTTCTCGCTTGGTCTCTGAACAAGTCGTTACTGTTGACCCTGGTGCACGTCGTCGCGATGCCTCACCAAATCCTGCTAGACTGAGCGATCGACTCAACACACTGAGCATCAATACCGGTGGTCATCTAGGCCACTCATCACATGGCTCTCTGAGCTTATCTCCTGGCGGCCATTCCCACTCAGGCTCTCTCAGCTTAGCAAATGCACCAAACTCCCCTCTCCTCGAAGCATACAAGGGAACATATCAATCTATATCCCCCATGCCTTCTCCAATGCTAGTTGTCACGTCACACTCCGACATCTCTGAGAGTTTCTCCCCTTTGTCTCCCTCTGGTGGAGATTCTTTCCGTCGCACAGCCCGCTTCCATGACTCTCAAGATGAAGCTGAGATTCTTCGCGATGCACTTAAGGGCGAAAATCGGGCTCCGGATATTCAGCCTCTTATTACTATTCTTCCGGGCCTAACACATGAACAAATCCTTGATCTTCGCGCTGAGTATAAGAAGATAGTCAAAACAGGTCATGAAAGGAAGGGTGTCAACATCGCTAAACACATCAAGCTCCGTCTCAAAGATGAAGATCCAAGTTTGATGAAAGCATGCTATGCAGTTGCTTTGGGACGATGGGAAAGTGAAGCCTATTGGGCTAACTTCTGGTACCAAGGAGAGAAATCTCGCAGAGAACTACTCATTGAAAGTTTAATGGGGCGATCGAATCGCGAAATCGAGAAGATCAAAGATGGATTTAGTGATAAGAAGTATAGAGATTCTCTAAGACAATGCATGGAAAAAGAACTCAAGGAAGATAAGTTCAAGAAAGCGGTACTCCTTGTGCTGGAAGAAAAGAAGATGGAAGAGAGTAGACGCATTGATGGGGATTTACTTGGAGAGGATATTAGACAGTTGGAGAAATGCGTCACGAGTGAGCGGGGTGGTGAGACGAGAATGATTGAGATTGTTTGTACGAGGAGTGATACGCATTTGAGAGAGGTGTTAAGGGGGTATGAGGAGAGGTTTGGAAAGAATTTCGCGAGGGAAATGTTGGCGAAGAGTACGAATCTTGTGGTATGTATATTTTTTCCCTGTCGTATTTTTCTATACTGTCATCTATTCCCCCCCGTTCTTTCCGTATGTATAGAACTAACACCCTCTTTCAGGGTGAACTTCTCGCCCACATCCTCAACGGAATCATCAATAAACCAGTCCGTGATGCACTCTTGGTACATCATGCATTAACGCTCTCAACGCGCGATCCGCTCAAGACGGAATTGTTGATTAGTCGATTGGTGAGATATCATTGGGATCGTAAGCATTTGGAGGAGGTGAAGAGGGAGTATAGGGATCGTTATGGGATTGATATGCAAGAGGCGGTTAGGGAGGGGGTCCGGGGGATGTGGGGAGGTTCTTGGAGGGGTTGTGTATGTGGAGGGAGAGGGATAGGGTTAGGGAGGTTTAGGGTTGAGAATTGGGGAGTGAGGGGAAAGGGAGGGGGTGAATGATTGATGGAAATTTGATGGATTGATGAATACTTGATGGATATATGATGGATGAAAGCATGATATGATATGACATGACAGGGAATGATAAATGGCCGGTTAGATTAAAGGGATGACATTGATTTTTTAAAGTAAGTCTCAGTATGTTCAGTGATTTATAGTAGATGTGACACAGAAACTGAAAATCAGGATCTATGTCTTTAATAATGGGGATGGGAAAGTGATGTGAAGTGAGGCAATGTGAAGCAATATAACCTAGGATATCAACAAGGAAAATTCAAGCAAATATTGTCATGGAAGATGACAATGATAATAGGAAGAAGCAAGTGTTACTAGTAGATTCACGTTATGTGTATATTCCGCATTGAGGGATTCCGGGGTATGGTATTGTGTGTAGAGGAGATTATCACAAACAGTATTGGATTTCCTGGATGGAGTTGGTTGAAGACTTGAAGTAGCTAGATCTTTTGATTCTTGATGGGGAGTAGATTTGCAGCTTGGTGTGATGTTTTTGTGGTGAGAGCATGAGGATGCTTGTTAGATGGGGGAGTGTGGAGATGTTTGCTGTTTATGAGTTGAGATTGAGATTGTAAGGTGGGGGGTGGATAGGAGGGTGTCTTCGTAGGTGAGTTTGATGTGTGTGGAGGTTGGTATTGAGGAGTTGAGGAGTATCTTATACAGTATATGTTCCATGATGAAAAGAAGTGTCCTGGCAGCTTGTGACAGCTTACTAAAAGAGTGAGAATATTGGATTCAAGTCGAATGTGTACTACAATGTAGCGATCTATAGAATTAAACAAGATAATGCATTGCATATCATCAGAGCTTCTTTAATAGTTGATGCAGTGAGCAAAAAGTCAGGTGAGCACTAGATCGAACAACTATCCCATTCTTTCTTCATTACTCCTTCCTCAGCAACAAACACAACTCCATCAGCGATGAATCACTCCACTCCCAAAATCTAACACCTTCTATTCCATGTTCACTTACAAACATCCTGCCAAATAGATAGTCGAGTGACTCACATCCCTCAACCTTCCTAACCTTTTCCTTATTACATTAGCTACACTACCATCTCTCTTCTTCTCGTCTCAACTTTACAAAATCACAGCAACAAACAAATGATTCACTCCTTCCTTCCTTCTTTTCACTGATATATATCAAGGTACTCATCAAACGTTAATAACTTGCATCAACACTCTCACCATGGTGCAGTGGTAGAAAGCTTGGTTGAGGTAGTGGTTAACCTGTCTGCCTCCCAGATAACAATATTATCAAAGTGCGCAGGAAACGGGGATTCGAATTCCCCACCAAGCAGGATGCTATTCTTTTTTTGTGGTTTGCATTATGGATTTTGTTTTGGGAGTTGATTTCTCTTTGAATTCATCTTCTTTGGTATTTGATTTGGTCTCTAACTTTGATGGGTTTGGTGTTTTGTTTAGGGGTCGGGTCGGGATTGATTGGTGAGGTTATTCACTCTCTCGGAGGCTGAGCATATCCATGGTTTGTATCTTTCTTGTTTGATGATAACTAATATACAGAGATATGTTGCATATCAATGAGTAGTAAGTGGTTCACTCACAAATCATAATTTACTGAGTATCTAGCTCTGTTTATTGACCATTCTTTCAAGCTCTAATCATCAAACAGTTATCAGACTCTGATTCACACCAGTCTTACAGCAAGCCTTTTCCCCTTGAACACAAGACTCGATCAATAATTAGAGAAATACTTCCATCATGTTTTTTCGCGACGCTACACGTGCTTGATCTATATTTGCTACGTGATGTATATGAGCGGCGTAGTAAGTGAAATATCACACACTTCATACTTCCTTCTTCGTTTCACTCCGAATTTTGCTGGCTTTTATGATTGTTTTTTTCTTTTTAAAAGAATGCTACGTCTATCAATAGTGAATAAATGTTATTCCAACAATGCGCTGCACCTGTGACATGAAGAGACTGTGGAATATAAAAGCTTGAAGGGTTTCGAGCGAGCTTTTTTTCATGATGTCGGTGATTTTGGGGAATATACTTGGGCTGGTAACACGCGTTACTCTCTATGGCAATCTATGCATTTCACAATGCTTGGAATTGCGGATGTAATGACTGCTCGATAAGTCAGGTACGAAAGATGGCAGTGTCCCCGTTGTAGCGACTTCAAAATCGAGCCCAGGACTTTTGTCCGCATATTAGAAGATTGAAGTCACTTTACAATATGAAAATCTTCGTCGATGAAAGCAGACTTTCTCTGAGGTGCTTTAAGAGAACGAGAGTGTATCGTGGTAATATGACTTTCGGATTAAAAGTCTGTTGTTCTTGTTTTGACTTAGACCACCTAGGTAGTCAGAATTCAAACATGACTGCGGGATTGAACACTCATGGCTTCGAGATTTTGACTAATGTGATTACGGACAGAATATCTGGGAATATTGAACACTATGATGAATATAAAAGAACTAAGAAGACCCTTTGGTTTCGATCACCACTAGTTTCTGCTTTTCATCTCTAAGAGTAGCGTACCAAGCCAGCCTGAGGTTGAAATCAACCGGCAATGGGTTAAATTTTGGGAATATTACTTTTATTCATGCACGCTGATTTTAGCATACATTTCATCGGGTCTTCAAATTAGCTATTGATTTTTTGGTAGGCTTCATCGCTCGAAAAGGGCACGAAAGTAGTCCTAAGATCTGAGAACCGTTTCGAAGTGCTTTATATGTCACGGGCTAGAATGCTCACAAACCGCAGAGAGCGAGCGAGTGGTGATATGCAACAAATAGCAAAAGAAGTTGCTTTGTAGAATAACAAGACAAAATACGATTGTCAACTTCTCGAAGACGCGTCGTCTAATGGATCATGGGTTTGAACTTTATTTTAGAACTCGTATCATGCTCCCACTAGAGGAAAGATAACTGACCAGAGGTAAGTGGACCATTGAAGTCAAAAAATCAATACACAATATTATATCATATCAATAACTGATATCTATCTACTAGATAATCATTGCGAAGTTTCTATCGAGCCCCCACCTCTCGAATTCTCCAGGTCGTTCGGCCTAGCACCAAAAGCTCCTATCCCTTTCCTCTCATCTCTCCTCCCAAGAAATCTCGACAAGAACGTTGTCAAAGCAGTCGCTGCTCCAAAAGTGGCTGCAGCAATCCAACCCGGACGAAACTCAGGCGCCTCTTCAGTTCTCCATACCGCATCCGAGTACCATATCTGCATAATATATCCAAACATGTTACTTGTTGCGATCAGAAATCCCCTCATCTCATGATCATGAGACATAAGATCTGGATACCAAGAAAACCAAATTCCTGGCACACCAGCTGAGAAATATGCAAGATAGAATGCAACATATTTTAGTTTGATAGGTATAGTCCAGATGGCTAGCACGACTGCGCTGAAAAATGTTCCGAGTTGCATGACGATTATTGGAGGCCAACGTTTTCCGTGTAAGAGGTTAGAATCTGATATCATCGCGGCTACAACTTGAACGATCACACCGATACCAGCTTGGGCTGTTGGAAGAACGTCCCTATCATAGACCGAATTTCCTTTTGCCTTCAACCATAATGCAAATGCCGGTTGTTGGGATGGAAGACTCGCTTGGATGAAGAAATAACCGAACGGTAAGACCCAACATTGCCATTGTGCCATCATTCGAAACAGCTTTTTCTTGTCCCAAGCTGACGATCCTAGTGTATTGTAACCATCACGAACGAGTCGTTCTTTGGCTAATGTGATTTCGGCCTCTGTGAGATAGAAAGCTCGAGTGGTTTCGGGGAAATCGGGATTGAAAAAATATCCAATGACGCCCACGGGAAGACTGATGGTACCACATATGATGAACAGCCATTGCCATCCAGCATGACCCAGATGTCCACTCAAATTATCATAAGCTGCTGCTTGGAGATAACCACTGAACATTGTGGCTAATGTTGCGGTACAGTAAAATAATGTTACACGCTTCGCTCGCTCTTGTTTTGTATACCATGAACCAATCACATAGATGATACAAAGGAAGAAAGCCCCCTCACAAAGTCCGATGAGAAATCTCAGCGCGTACAGCTGTGATACATTAGTAACAGCCGCGCTACAGAATGTAAAGATAGACCAGAGAACCTCAAGTGTGGGAATCAAAATCGATGGTCGAACATGCGTCACCAGGATGACGGCAGGGATTTGACTTATCACATAGCCAGCAGTGAAAACATTTCCCACATATGACTGCCTTTCATGTTGATGGCTTCTTGCATGCCGGAAACATAGGCATTGTTTAGATTGGCTTGATCGAGATTCTTGCAAAAGTATCCAAGACAGCCGTAGGTAAGGAGGAAGAAATCGAGTTTGAGGAGGAAACGTTTTTCGATAGCTGGTTTATCTGGATCATCCCAGACGTAGCCTTTCATACTTCTTAAGAAACGACGAACAGAACCTTTGAATCCGGGCTTCTCCCATGGTCTGAGTGGAACTTCGATATTGGCGTCTTGCTGTGAAGATGGGGATGTCATCAAGCCAACGGTTGAGGTGACATCTGCAGGTAAAATATCTGACTCGAGACCCTTCTCTTTGACTTCTGGCATGCTTTTTTCTCGATTATCCGGAAACAATCTGGAGTCCGAATTTAACGTGGGTTGTATTGCTTAGAGGTTTCGTTTGGCTTTTACATTTATATGATTCCCAAACACTTCGCCATCTCAAACCCATTCTCGACCATACAGATTTTGTGGATCTAGAATTCATGCTCGTTTAGTATTTATCATATGGCGACATCAGTGAACATCATTTGTCTTTTTGATCTTTGTGCATTCGCTCCAATTGAAAAAGTCATTCTTATCTGATCCCAATCCTCGTAAGACTTGAACGTAGCCTTTCTATGGATACATTAGCTTCTAGAATTTACACTTTGCATGCGGGTGAACATTTATCCCACTTTTTAGATACCTCCAATATCTTAGTTTACTTGACGTGACATTTGGGAGAATTGTCGATGTGTTACATTGTGAACCCCTCGATTAGACGATTCCACAATCACCCCGGTTTTCTATCCGGATCGGAGAATTTCAAGATTTAAATACGCCGATAGAGCTTGTTGACGCCATGGATTGATAAGCATTAGCGACATTGGGACAGATCAACCTACTAGTTGTCGCAATCATGGTGGATGATCGACGCTTCATGGGGGTTGAGCGCTCGATTTGGTGATGGTGTCATGCGGGGAGCAGATGACGGAATTTTGGAGATATTCCAACCACAGACGAGAGATACAAGATGATGTGCCGCATTGCCGGAAATAGAGATATGGTCAATACTTAAGAACTCAAACAATTAGAAGTCATTGTCGCTGATTGATTGGAATTATAATCATCATTCATTGAGAGATTTCATACATCATGTCTACTACCACAACCGAAACAGTCGTGACATCGGCTCCAGAGGTCACTCAGACTCTTCAAGATCCAAAACAATATGATTTTGATCATCTTCCAAAATACACACATCCGCCTGAGACCAAAGAAGATCTTCCCTGGGCCGAACTCGTGACACTTGATCTCTCAGACTTCAACAATGAAGGCGGAAAAGAACGTCTCGCCAAACAACTTGAACATGCCGTTCACCATGTCGGTTTCTTCTATGTCAAGAACTTTGGTCTTTCTCAAGATCAAGTAGATCGTCAATTTACACTCGCCAAGAATTTCTTAACTCTCCCCGTTGACGAAAAAGCCAAATATGAAGTTGATTATGCAAATGCTGATTACAACGGCTGGCGCCGAAACAATCATCACCAAGTTGGCAAAGTCAAAGACAACATCGAGATCTACAACATCCCCAAATTCACCCAAGATTTCGAAGGCAAATATGCTCAACCTCCCCTGCTCCAAGCCCATCTCCCCGAAATCGAAGTTTTCTCCAAAGCTCTCCATTCAAATGTTGTTCTTCCCCTCCTCCGTCTCTTCGCCATCATTCTGCAACTCCCAGATGAAGAATATCTCGTGAACCAACACACATACGACAAGAAAAGCGAAGACCATTTCCGGTACATGATATACCACAAGCGAACTCCCGAAGAACACGAAGCCAGCGGCTACGGCCAAACCACCGGCCACACCGATCTCGGCACCGTCACACTCCTCTTCCGCCAACCTGTCGCCGGACTGCAAATCCTCGGGGACGATGGAAAATGGACTTGGGTATCCGCACAACCCGGTACCATTACCGTGAATCTCGCCGACACCATCTCGCATCTCACAGGCGGCTGGCTCAAATCCTCTATTCATAGAGTCGTCGCGCCACCCAAGGATCAGTGGGAGTACGAACGAACCGGACTTTTGTATTTCGCGCGACCGCATAATGATACGGTTTTGAAACCGATTGTGGATTCGCCCGTGTTGAAGGAGGCGGGTGTGAAACCGAGATTTGAAAAGGAGATTACGATGGAGGAGTGGGTGAGAGCGAAACAGAGGTTGCAGTTGAATCCGGAGATTGCGGAGAGCTTGTATCGGGAGGCGGAAGATGGGACGAGCACGGTGGAGGTTATTGGGGGGTTTAGGGATAGGACTTATAAGTAGGGGAGGGTTGGGAGACGCAATGAAGATTGAATTGTTATGAGCAATTTGGGATGTTTTATTACTTGAATTGACTGGTTAGTGATGGATTGGAACTCGAAGGCCGGGCTTCTTGAAATCCTATAGGCTTCAAGCCTGTGCTTTGTGAGTATCCATTTATGGAACCTTCAATACTCGGTAATCTTTTGGATGAGCAATGCCTCAATTTCTACGGTATCTGCACGAGTATATAATCACCCACTTTCTCACTTAATCTCGACAATGCCTCTTGATAAAGATCGTCGATGATTCCGCAGATTCCGTCGTCCGTCGTCCTAGTCTGACAAACAATCTCATTTCGTAAATGAAAACTCGATATATAGAAATTGAGAAGTTTCTCTGGAGTCTCTAGCCTCCGAATGATGATAAAATCACAGGCGATAATATCACTAGTTTGTTGGCTATAAACAACAACTATTATTAAACCACAACAATAAACTGACAAAATTGCCAAAACGACATGCCCATAAAGATAATGCTCCCCCTCCCCCCAAGTAGAAGCTCTGATGAAAAAGTGAATATAATCTCTTACTACTTATCCACTCACACCTTTTCAATGCAGGCTTAGGGGGAATAGGATGGCGAAGCCTCTCGTAGAGCTGACAGTTCAAAGAGAGAAACTCACGTACTAATTTATACCTCTCTAGTCGCTACACTTTGAGATATAATGAGGATCCTTGGTTTGATGCGTGATCAAACATTTCTTGATTTGGATCTGATACTTTTTAGAGACGTATAAAAGATGGTGCTATATAAATACTGGCCTGTTAGCTCTAGTAAGCTATTATAGATGAGAAGGTCATTGAGAGACTTCCTGGATGAGGATCTCAGGACCTGAAGTTTCTGGCTTCGAAACTGTTGAAGAACTATCAGATATTGTCAACTTCATGGAAATACGATATGCTCTTCAACAATACCCTCGATAGTAACAAGCGAGAGCAATATCGTTGTCAAAATTCTTCTTTATCATCATCATGCACCAACCCGCAAGTCTCTCGTATACTCAACCTTATCGCAAGACCCACACCACTCAGAATCTATTACAGCATCAGAATCCAAAAGGTTATAGATACACCACCTTGCTTTAGATATTCCTATTACACTTGTTGTATTTACCACTTAAGCTAATGAGTAGTAGTAGTAGTAGTAGTAGTAAAGTCTTAATCGATTCAGTCGATCTATAGCTAAGCTATACTGACTATGCGATACGTCTAAGTAATGCTAATTGTATAAGGTAGATGCGAAAGCAAAGAAACCCCACCCACCTCCCCTAGATGATCTAGGTTTGCTATTATAAAATCCTATTGTGTTGTAGAACCTCCATAATCTTCCCGTTTACCCCGCCGCAACCTCTACGATCCCTTGCTTCTTGTATCTATCTCTATCATCCCTTCCTACTCTATTCAACTCCTCCCAATATACAAAATCCTGTAATTAGTATATCGTTGCCATCTTCACTCTTGGATCCCCAACCCTCGGATTCTTCGAATTCCATTCACAATGTGGACAATCCCAACTCCAATCCTGTACTACAAAATATTCCATTTCTGACCTTCTCCCTCTGGTACTTCAATCAGACTGGGTTCTATTCGAAACCTATTATCTTCATTCCCATTTCGCTCTGCCGGTGCTACTCCTTCGGTAGGGGGGTCAGCTAATGGGTATGGAGTAATTTTTATACCCTTGTTATCATTCGACCATGGACATCAGCGTGCAGATTATCAACCAAGTACTAAATCTGATACACGTGTATCTGAAGCCTTGACTGAATAGTAAGAAAGCGGTATGTATGTATATGCACACGCTAATCATTAAGTCAGTCACCTACATAAACTACCCCCGAGAACTTCTTCGCCAATCGAGAAAGAATAAGATAAATATGCTCCTATCTTCAGGAAAATCATCTTGTTATTCTTCAGCTTATAGCCTAGTCGTATGTATTTAGCGATTTCTCTTCAAAAAGATGAGGATGTAAAATTGAGGTAGACTTTTCTCGTTGTCACGCTTATCTATCAATTCATTCATTCATTGAATGCTGATCGGGATTTGATAATAATCATACCTGTAGAGATTACACTGACAACAAATAAAAATCTCATCAGACGATAATAAAGCACAACAATAGATTGGCGATTCGCAGTAACACTCCGTACAACTCATCCTTCCAAAAAAAAATACCAACTCCCCATCAAATTACCTGAACAAAGACACCAGCATTGATTCGTCTAGTTTGCGACAATCTCGTATATATAATCAAGAAATCATATGAGATATTATCCAGCGTAACTTATACTCATTCATCATTGAGATTAAAATTGAATACTACGCGTGGCTTTGTGTCAAGCTGTTACATACCCCGTTTAGCATCTCAGCACTTATTTATGACAACTCTTACTTATATCATGAGTGATATAAGACGCTATTCTTTCTCAATCTGATAATTGGAAATACTTGCAGAAATCAAAGTATAATATCATTAATCTCAGTAATCCTGAGCTGTGAGGAAACAAAGAAACATAGAAAGAAAAAGTCACGGCACTCAAACTCGCTTAGATATCGTGAAATTAGGTAGGTATGTACCGACGAGATTTTTTAGGGCGGGGAATGTAACATATGTATCATTTTACTCCCATTGTCTATTGTCAAGCATTCATCTTTATGAATTGTATAAAAGTGACGACAACTATACATACGCCCAAATATTGTGTTCAAGAACATTCAAAATGCTAATAAAGTAATTACATTGTCATCTTCCACTTACATTGTCAAAGCCAGACGATTGTTTGAATTCTTACTACGAACCCAAACTCCCTGATTTCTTAAACCATCCATTCACTTCCCCTTTCTATCTCGATTTTAGTATGTCACGGAAATCTCCGTGCTGTATGCACCACGTCACCATTGATCATTAAAAGCTTTAAACCATTATATTGGTAAATCAGCTTCAACTAAATAAGCGACTCTATTGCTTGTTTAGA